TCTAACGTAGATTCGCATGGCGCGGGTTATCAGTCCACCGATTCTAATGTAGATTCGCATGGCGCGGGTAATCAGCCCACCGATTCTAAAGTAGATTCGCATGGCGCGGGTAATCAGTCCATCGATTCTAATGTAGATTCGCATGACGCGGGTAATCAGTCCATTGATTCTAATATTTTGTAACATATTATTGACAAGTTACAGTTACACTAACTTTCAAACCACAAATGGATATCTCTATTCTTCATAAATGATTTAAATATATTTTTTTTTATAAAAATGACACTTATTATCTTTCAACCAAACATTGGTTGACACTGATATCCCCTTAATCTGTAACATAAAAGTTAGGTAAAATCGCCATTCATCTTTTCTAATTATAATGTTTTGCATTCTAGAGTTGAATATTTTGTTTTACTAATGGAACATATAGCATTCTTACTACTTTCTTATTACTGCAATTAGTATCTGATAAGAATTGACTTAAAAAAAAATAATAATAATATATAGATAAGTAGAGATGCGAAACAAATGGAGATAGCCTCAATATTCAGTTGCAGAGCTGTTACGTTGTAAAAATAAAATTCCGCATATATTTGGAATAACTCTTAACTACTTGTTATCTCTTTTATTGATGTAAAAAAAACTATATCGGTATACATTATACTTTAAGGTAAATATTCTCTCTACTTTGGAATTATGTTAATGATACTAACCACAAACTACTAAAATAAAGATGATACACGTGTGCAATAAAATTTATATCTGACAATTGTGCACTTTATCCCAGATGCTTATTAAGACCAAACAACAAATTGGGAGTATTTGGCCAGAGCCTTTCATAAAATTATTCTCGAAATTTATACTTATTGTATATACTGATTCAATATATATTGTTACCGTAGATTGCTGGCAACCGAACTGTCAGTGATATATAATTAAACATAACACCATAAATGGTGCTAACTGAAAAATGAGGTTACCCGCAGATCGCTGATTATGACAACCGTACTGTCATATATATATACAAATTCAAGAGTCTATCCTAAATTGAGGTAAATTATGTGGCCTTCCAATAACCGTTTCGATTCCTAACATCACTGAAGAGACATTAATTGTCGAAATCCGGATATGGTGTACAAAAAATCTTTGCACCTTTGTTAGCGGTATACCATCTTTGCCGCAAGTTTATTGTTTTCTCTTTAAAATATATAGTTAAGATCCATTTTTTACACCTTGTGATCCGTTTATTTGGCAATCGCCAATGGCAGGATTTAAGAACATTTGTTGTTCGATCTGTTAGTCAAATGCGTTTTGTTAAAATATACTTTTTCACTTTTTTGGTCTTTTGGAAAATGTTGTTTGTGTTGTATTTAGACCCCTCTAACAAGAAATTTGTTTTGCATGCACACGTATAAAAATTGCGGTTTTAAACCAACGCAATCATAGGTTTGAATATTGTTTTCTATTTAGACTTGTTTATATTTTTTAGTTTGGGCTTGTATTATATTTTCCTTCGGGTTTATATGATCCGTTTATCCTATTTTGACTCCTCAAAATTCAAGAGTCTATCCTAAATTGAGGTAAATTATATGGCCTTCCAAAAACCGTTTCGATTCCTAACATCACTGAAGAGACATTAATTGTCGAAAATAATTATTTCCGTTTTATCTGGGTTAAAGGACATTAACCTTTTTTTTTAAAGGACATTAACCATCTTAGTATTTGAGCAAATAATTATTTCCGTTTTATCTGGGTTAAAGGACATTAACCATTTTTTTCCCAAACATTGAGTGTGTGCGGTGGAATATCTCAGCGACGTATCATCAGCAAAAAGTTTAGTCAGTGAAATCAAATTTTCGCCAATATCATTTATAATACAGCAAAAAATAAAAAGGGACAGAGAACAGAGCCTTGGGGTACCCCGCAGAAACAATAGACAATGATGAAGACGAAACTTCTTTTTTTTCCTTAAAAAAGATAATTTTTAGTCCATGCAAATAAACTTCATTTTATTCCATAAGAGTTCATTTTATGTATAAGTCCATTATGCCACACTTTATCAAATGCTTTTGAAAAATCACAGTATACGAAGCAACTGAATTCTTTTTTTTCAAGAGAATATAATATAGTGTTATAAAGTTCAATAAGATGAGGTACAGGTGAATGTTAAGCTAAAAATCCTGATTGATATATATATAAATAAGTTTGTTCCTATATGTAGATGGTTATAAATATGTTTGTAGACTACCCTCTCCATTACTTTTCCTACACAGCTAATTAGGGATATCGGTCGATAATTAGATGGTAGGGATGCATCAGCTTTCGTAAATATGGCAATTACATGGGCTATTTTCCTTGAAGAAGGGTATTTACCTTGGGACCGGGATTTATTAAATATAATTTTAAGGGGTTTTGCTATTTTTTGGGGGGATATTCTAAGCATCCTGTGACTGATTCTGTCTGGCCCGGATACTTTTTTTAGGATCAAGAGTAAGAAGTATATCGACTATTTCACTCTCTGTTATTTGAATATCACTAATTATTCCTTCCTTTCTATTCTCAAATGGGGCCGCTCAAAATTTTTTCTTCCAGTTTTGATGACGCGAAGTATTTATTTATTTGTCCACATTTGTCAATATCGTCATATACAATATGGTAAAAATTTGGCTCATTGTTTATACTTTGTATTGGTGGAATTGCGTTATTCCCCTTATTAGATTTTATTAACATCTTCATTATTTTCCAGTAATTTTTAGGACTGGAATTATCCAGTAAAAACGTTTTCCAAATTCATACAAGTGACAGGTTTAGCTAGCTATTAAACCAGGTTTAATCCTCCATTTTCTACATATGGAAATGCCTGTACCAAGTGAGGAATATAACAGTTGTTTTCCATTCGTTTGATGTGTTTGAGCTTTTGATTTTGCAATTTGATAAGGGACTTTCCGTTTTGAATTTTCCTTGGAGTTTAGTATTTTTGTTACTTTACTCTGTACTTTAACCATTCCGAAAATCAAACTGTGCATCAGATAAAATATCATTGAAAGTTGCCCAATTTAATCCTTTTTTATTAAGCAATGTGGTGAAAGATTTACCTATATTGATGACAATGCTTATATGTTTCCTGCATCTTTAACTGCAGCAGATTTGAAAATTGGGACCAGGAGTGTATCTGACCATGCTGATGGAAACTACCAACTGTATATATAACTTTATTTCCTCTATGATAGAGATTTGGTGTACATGAAATATATAAATAAAAAAATTAAAAACAAAGAATTTAAGTTACTGTTTCAAGTTAATGAAGAGAAAACATGAGCACTGTCAATAATGGAGATAACGGACACATATTCTATCGATTGTGGAAACCTCTGCAGATGTTTTCCACATGACGTTACAAATCTTAGAGAAAAAAGTTAATTCGTCATTTCCTAATTCATATGACGTATTGCATGAGAGAATTGTCGTTGTGAATTCATGTGCCGAAAGACTGTCCATAAAAACACTGAACAGAATGGGATTAACGTTAATTATGTCCTGCCGTAGATCATCTCTTTTGTCTTGTATAAAATCACATGATACCAGTAAATGTTCAACAATATTCAAGAAAAACTTGCCACATTTGTCACAAAGTAAATGTTCATCTTCATAACGTACTACAGAACATAAGTCAATAACATACTTGGAAGAGGCATGAAGTTCAGGAAACTGTTTAGCAATTGTCCATGCTTTATGCGGTTTGATTGCAGAATGAATATGTCTAAACATATAAAAGTCATTACCGCATGAAATTTGGTATAACCACCATGTTTCGTCGGTTGCTTTTATTTTTCGGTTTACAATAACTGACCAAAGTTTTTTTTTGATGGAAAAGAAACAGTATTTGCAAAATTCACAATATAATCTGTAATATAAACTGTTAGGAAAAACCTACAGTGGAATATCGGCACTACTACTTGTATAACACCAACCAACCAAACTAAACATTTAGGATTATTAAGAGCTGAAATTAAATAAAATGAAATAAATGTGGAGGATAGACTGTCCATAGCTCATAGTACACTCTACTCATTAATGAACAGTTAACTCATGGATCAAATAGTTTAAATCCCATAACCTCTTACCAAATATATCGGAGCTATGTAATACCTTACCTTCTTTTTGGACTTGAAATACGACCATTAGTTAAACAAATATATATTGACCGCCTTAGGAAGTTCCACATAAACTGCCTACAAAATTTCCAATCACTGTCTCAAAGAACAGCGCTCTGTGCCGAGTATCTACTAATAGGTGTACTACCCATAGAAGCATAGTTACACAAACGTCAACTGAGCTTTCTGTATAGTATCCTAAACAACGAAAATGAAAGTATACAGCAACTTAACCAACGCCAGATCTCCATCTCCATCAACAACCCAGGAAGTTTCTACCATATAGTATCCAAAACCTTGGAACTATATGACCTACCAAATCTAGAATTTTTACTGAATAATCAACATAACAAGTTACAGTGGAAACATCAAAATAAAACAGCAATTAATAACTACTGGTCAAATATTTATAAAGATCCATCAACTAATAAATCAACAGGAAAATACCTCTGTTTGGAACACGTCGAAATTGGAAAACCACATCTAGTTTGGCAATCTATTGGGTTATCAGTAACTGAAGTGAAAAGATTTACAAGTCATTGTAGTATAGCAACGGGAGCCTACATACTGCAAACCAACATAGCAAAATTCAGTAACAATAAAAGGAAAACAAAACCTCCACCAGCAGCAGGATGCCTATATTTTAATTTTTTTTAAAGCAGTGAATTACTTTTAATTTCTATAAGCCGGTGTATTTGTGTTCACGCTTTTGTCAAACACATTACATTCACACGTATAGATACCATATTCTGGAAACACTGCAAGTAATATGATGAATAGATTGAAATCGTTTAGGGGTTAAACATAAAAGAAAACACTAAAAACAATTTAGATGACAATATATATTAAGCGAATGAGACAACTAGAATTTCCTTTATTCTACACCTTTAATAAAACAAGTTAAATCTATGTTCTGACGATAGGAATAAATATAAGTTTAGTCAAAATATACATCCAATACATACATGTGTATACAAAGTAACATAATATAATAAACAATTGATAAATAAAAAAAAGCAGATTAGGCAAATAGCAGTATTGTCGCCTATGGAGGAATCATACTACTATTGTCCTTATAAATATATTACAAGGTAACACAATGTGATACATACGAAATTGAAACAGCTGTAATGATTAAATTGCACACCTTTATATCAGATTCATTATTAACAACATGTTTCAATAGACGTGTTAGGAAAGTCAATACGATTTTGACGCTGATGTTAAATACCAATACCAATACAGGCTATAGTGGGGACTATCTCAAAAAGCACAGATAATCATTCATTATAGTTACCTGTATGGGTTTGTTGGATAATGCTGAGATGATTTTTAAACAATAAAATAGTAACAATTTATTCCGCAATACACGGACGAGGATCCAGCAAAACAACACGAACATTATTCTTGCATTGTGACATAGTAGGGATCGATTAAGTTTAAGAGCGTTGTTCCCCCATTTCGTACTATTTTGTTGAACGACTACAAGGAAAATCTACAAAGTGATCAAATAAATGAATAGAAAAAACACAGGAATCAAATCACATTCTGATCCGATTTTTTACTCTACATCAATCTTTGTTCAAAACGTTCGTTTATTTGAAATTTATTTAAAAAAATAATTGTCATGTCGGGGCATTTCTTAGCTTTTATATGCGGGAATGGTTTTGCTCCGTGTTGGTGGTCTGTCATACGGTGATCTATAGTTGCAAACATTTACGAAATTTGGTCTCTGGTAGATAGTAGTCTATTTTGGCAATCATACCGCATCTCCTTATTTTATATCATTTTCTAGAATAGAGAAATGTGTTACACAGTAGCGTAAAATTCTAAAAATAAACCAACCTAGAAATTTGTGTACTTGACAATTAAAAAAAAGACCGAAATAAAAGTGTTTTCAATTTGATTATCTTTATACTTTTATTTTATCTAGAAAGGTCGCTGACAATTTTATATAATGTTAAATGAATTAATTCTTATTCACATAAAAAATTTTGCCCTGACATTTTCCTTCTATCAACTTTTATCAGTTAGTTTTTCGGAAAAGAGAGGTTATCGAAAAGAGAGGTTATCGAATTAAGTATTAAAAGATTACAACGTTTGGACATTATCAAGCATGTTTAATTTACGTTTCGGTGAAGGGTCGGAAGTTTTTTTTTTCTTGTTACCACGGCTTCCTCCACCAACAAAACAGAACACCACGATTAAATTGAGATATTGTTGAAAGTGGCGTTAAACTTTCATATGGAGAAGTTAATGTTAGTATATTTGGGTCAGGAGGTTTTTTGAAAACGGAATATTTATTTTCACCTCTTTCAAAACAAAGTCTGCTAAATTATATGTCGGTCATTTTTCTTTCGATTTGCTTCATTTTGTTTTGCCTTAGATTCACTATACACTCCGCTTTCTAAATTGGACGGTATATAGTGATGGGTGAATTGGTCCATCCGTCCGTTCTTTCGTCCCTCTGTCCATTCATTGCATTCATACCCAGAAAGTATTAGACAATACGAATCACATATAGCTCATGAAAAGTGGTTTTCTTGAACATTAAAACGATGCGCAGCAAGACAACCTTCTACTGTAGCCCCCTGCTTCTTAAAGTTTTATATAGAAATAGCACTGTATCCACTTGTGTCCACTTTTTCTTTTCTTTTTTATATATAGATATAACGATGAGTTCAGATTAGCACTGATTTGTTTAAGCCACACATATATACGCGTCCCTGTATCCCTGGACACAAAATGCATGCTAACTATATTTGCGACGGAAATAGGACATATCTATTGTGGAGAGACAAAATGAGTTATTTAACTATTAAACATATTCTAATCATATCGCTTAATATATATATTTGGACTTGTGGCCGTAAAATTCGTCATTCCCATTCTTGACTCTTACATATATTTTTGTTAAGTTTTGTTTTGCACTCTTAAATCAAACAAATACAAATTAATGTATGAATGTATGAAGATCTACGTAAGGACAATGCACGTCTTAAAATTTGGAGTCGATATTAACTGTTCGCTTTATATTGTATCAAACACACCACAAACGTAAACTATTATACTACGCCGGGATACTTTTCAGTGCAATTGCATTTTGAGAAAGTCCACACTTAAATCTTGTATCGGTATTGGTATTTAACATCAGCGCAGTATTTAAACCCCTTTCCTAACACGTCTAATAACATCTGTTCAAACGTTAGTCTCGCCAAGCAGGTTAAGTTTGATTTTCTCCAGTAAATTCTTGTCTGTAATATCTTTCTTCTTATAGACAGCCTCATAGTCTTGACCAACTGGTTTCCATTGTGATGTTGGTTTCAAGGCATTTGCTACTTTCTGAAACAAACAAAAAAACACTAGTGATATCCAATTGCAAGTAAAATGTACAAGTATGTCTGTCTTTATTTATTTACAAGGAAAGTCCTTGAATTTATATTTAACTTATCTTTATAAAAATACCCATAGTTTATCAACACACATAAAACGAATATCTTATTACTTGCGAATGTTTTTGTAGAAGGAAAGGGGTATGATATAGCCAAGGTGTAAGGCATCAAATGAGTTATCAATGAAAATACCCAATCCAGTACTGAAATTTGTCAATCCGGTATAAGTTTATTTCTACCTAATGGCACAAATATAAAAGATTTGATTAAAAAATGTTATAAATTTGTCGAACGATCATTTCTACTAAAATGATTTTATCAACTATCACCTACTGCTGAACCGATGAGATCCAGAAGACAAAACATTAAACGTTACAGCTAAACATCAATAGTTAAAACAATATGAATACTGATTTGTTTACCTTTGTTGCTCTTAGAGCAAAAACATCAATTCTTTTTATGGCCAACGTGGCTGAAAGAATTTTATTTCATAGCTTATAAGTACATATATTTTTACTACAACCAAAGTGAAACTGGTCAAAGAGAATGATACCAATTATGTTCAAGCTGATAAAACGTAGGAAACAAATCATTTTCCTATAAGCACATATAACTAAGACTAATACCTAAATGAGTTTACATTATTCACAATGTATGTACGTACAGTATTTTAATGAATGATATAAACAGAAACAGAAAACAAATCTTCAAGGAAAAATATGACGTATATCATTAATTTGTTCTATTAAATATGATTTAATACCCCCAACCTCACAAAAAGGAATATTATAATAAATGAATACATAATTTAACCAATACATGTAAAATATGATTTAATACCCCCAAACTCACAAAAAGGAATATTATAATAAATGAATACATAATCTAACCAATACATGTAAAATATGATTTAATACCCTCAAACTCACAAAAAGGAATATTATAATAAATGAATACATAATTTAACCAATACATGTAAAATATGATTTAATACCCCTAAACTCACAAAATGGAATATTATAATAAATGAATACATAATTTAACCAATACATGTAAAATATGATTTAATACCCCCAAACTCACAAAAAGGAATATTATAATAAATGAATACATAATTTAACCAATACATGTAAAATATGATTTAATACCCCCAAACTCACAAAAAGGAATATTATAATAAATGAATACATAATTTAACCAATACATGTAAAATATGATTTAATACCCCCAAACTCACAAAAAGGAATATTATAATAAATGAATACATAATTTTACCAATACATGTAAAATATGATTTAATACCCCCAAACTCACAAAAAGGAATATTATAATAAATGAATACATAATTTAACCAATACATGTAAAATATGATTTAATACCCCCAAACTCACAAAAAGGAATATTATAATAAATGAATACATAATTTAACCAATACATGTAAGCAAAATCTAAAAATCGATGCGTTTTCAATTTGAAGTAAGTGTGTATTTTTTTTTTAAAGTAGAACAGTAATTGTTTCATTTACTAGCACTTGGTCAATACCGCTGTCGATGAGCTGTTAGTTCCCGAGGCTATCATCAAATCGGTAGTCAGTTCTTCGGTACTGACATGCTTTATAAAATATTCTTATTCAAAATCCCAGTTCATCAATTAAGAAATAATTACGAGACTAAGGTTCCAACGCCTTCATACAAAGTTGACCTGAAATTAATCTGTTTATGTCCTTTTGGGTCATATAGCTCCTAATGGTAAGGCGTATTTGCGCATCCATTTCTTTCAAATGGCTAGATTTAAGCGATCGTGATGAAGGTAAATCAAGAAAAGCACTTAGGATGAACGAAATGTACGAATGCTTTTAGCATTTAATTAGTAATATTCAATATTCATAACATGTTTGTACATTACCTTATAAATTGAGTCTCCCTCAGCCTTAATGATGGCAACCAATGCAAAAATGAAAATAGGTACTATAGGCAGGATAGACAGCATCGTTCCAATGGAGACAGCCGCTGTGGGATACTTGTAACTGCCATATGTAGGTGGCTGGTATCCAATTAGTGTTGAAATAATTAGTACCTGTCAAAACATCATACATCATAATGTGTATTAATCCAATTCAATGCATTGTATAGAAACTTGTCTAATTGTTAGAGTTTATATTGTCTTCTGAATATCTCTTTTTTTGTCATTTGCTGTCCAATTGACGGTTTATTCATATAATCTTTTTTTCATATCGAATTTCTTTTTTTTTTGTGGTGGGGGTTTCATCATGCAGCGATCTACTTTGGGTCCGGTTAGTTTCGGTACCGCTTCTTCTGTTAAGATGCATGTTTGAGTTGAATGGTCTAGCAAGTTTGGTTTATTAGGTTTAAAAAACTTTCGGTGTCCGACAAAACTGATGAAGGTGATATTTGATAACTTCAATGTTACATGACCTATCATACTTACAAACATTATTAGAGGTGTTACGAACATAATACAGACTCTAAAAAATATCGGAACTCCTCTTCCTAACATTTGATTGACATCTTTAGAAAATCTTTCCATACCTGTAATGTTGTTTATAATGATCATGTCATCAACACTTACTAAGTCTATTAAAGGGAATGTCTTACAGTAATGACATCCACTGTTAAAATCAAAATCTCATATCAAAATCATAAATAAAGGCCTAGGTCACAATAACTTATTAGAATAGATGCCGTCAATCTTTCACAGTCTCTGGTTGATTAGCACTATAATAATGAGTCAATCCCACTGCTGATGGAGGTTTCCTCCTCGAAGTTGTCACCAGCCCAGTATTCAACATTTCTGGTGTGTTGACATGAATTATCATTGATATGGTAATAATTATAATTTTTTAAAATTTTTTTACTGTTTACAAAACTAAGAATATTTCGAAATATTAAGGAATTGTTACACTAGGAATAGATTACCTTAGCTGAATTTTCAAAAGCTCTCAGAATTTTGGGTCCTGAATGCTCTTCAATTTCGTACTTTATTCTGCTTTGTTAACTTTTTCTATTCGAGCGTCACTGATGAGTCTTTTGGGCACGAAAAATCAGCGGCGCGTCTGCCGTACAAAATTTTGCTACTGGTATCTATAATGAGTTTATTCTGAAATCTAGATTTAACCAAAGTTGGAAAATAAATACGCAATGAACGGATTTGATAAGGGGTTCTTATGACTATCGATTTGCATTCAGAAACTGGTGTTGTCGTCCATTGTAATGATGTAACTGAGTTAAGCGGTTTATTGACTGGTTTTATCGACCGACATTCCATATATTCTACAGTCTGAGACCTCAAACCCTCATTAACTTTTTAAAGCCTATTCAGTGTCGGGAGAACTGCTCATTCATTATATATTACATAGAAATTTGGTGTAAATAGCAGATATTGGCATTGTCTAATGAATTAATTCCCAACTGTTCCTGCTATTTACAGCTTGACAAATTGCATTGACAATATCTGGAACTTTTGGTGCCTTCTTAATGGTTATCATACTTTTATTTTGTTCTTGAATTTGTATCTCAAAACCTATACTCTATATCTTTTTCATTCGCATAGTACTTAATTGTATTGCCCCTAAGTAATTAATTGAACTAAACAAAGTCAACTCTTGTTACAAGTTTAAATTGAAGTTTAGGACCAGTTACATGTTACTTGAAAACTTACAGGATAAAAATAATATATCTTTTACTGAAGTTTCATGAAAAGAACACATAGCAATCGACAGAATATACATTATTGTTGCAATAGTCACGGACAATAGACTATAAAAACTTACCATAAATCCAGCCTAATATGATACATTCAAGAAAACCCATTATAGCAAGTGACAGGGCATTAACATACCAGTCAACTAATTGAAATATGTATATTCCACCCTGTAAAGATATTAAAAATATTTATTATACTTCATGTTAAAATGTCAGATTCTGATTGGTTAATACGAGGGTGATAATTTATTCTATCCCATGGCTAAATACTCTATTGCCCTTCACGGAAACGCTTGATCAATTGTGCTCTTTTGTTAAGTACGGGTAATTTTTTATGTACAAGACGTCATAGTTTATTAAATTGAATTTGAAATTTAATAGACAGTAATAACAGAAATGTAGTATAATAAATGAAATAACACATAGCTGAGAGGGGATAGAGCAGATTGTTACCCCTCGAAAAATATTGTCCACCTTGGCTGTTACCTTTGAAAACACCGAGAAATGTAACTCTTCAATGTTTGGCATCTCGTCTGTAAGGACTTTACTGATAACATAATTACAAATATATCGAGAAGGACATTTATGCACATAAATTGAAACGATCTGTTTAAAAACTATAAATACATTAACTCGGATAATCATTTTGTAAAAAAAAAAATATTTTGGGTTAAATTTTTATCCTCAACAGACAAAACTTTAAAATCGTGATATTCACATAAATACGTTATTTTCATAACGAACGTTTCCCTTACATTGAACAGTTTGACATGGATCGTGGAACACTTGGAACTAGCTGTATGGAATAAATATTAGTATAACCAACTTCTAATCAAATGCTCTCGATAAAAAATAAAAATAAGACAATATTGATTTTCATTTACATTTCAAATAACATTTTTTTTTAGTTGTTTACAGTTCCGTTATATTGACGAAATTGGGTGAGCCAACATACATATTAAGTCAGTGTAACAATAATTACCAACCAGCCAAAACTGTGTAAACAAACATCACAAACACACAACACAACTGACAAAAAAAATCAAACAAACATACAACTAAATTTAACATAGACGCCAACAAAAAAGGGTGTAAATTTGACAAAGACGTCAACAAAAAAGTTCTTAAAGATGATTGAATATTGACAAAGACTCCGATAAAAAAATGTTTTTGACGTTGATAGTGCAGACCGTATATAGTATTCACTTTACCGATAAAGTACAAATTAAGTAAAACATAAACGGATTAACAAAATTGAAACAACACTTTGAGAAACGCGAATCGCACCTTTAGACCCACCATAACCCGGAACGCACAAAGTAAAAAGAAAATGATTGCGGGATACATAAATACCGAGTCATGTCGAAAGTAATACGACCAAAAGAAATAAAACATAAACGGGTTATTGTAAAACGTCAATTATGTAGTACATTTTTATGGTTCTTTTTTCCTATTCAAAGGTGAAGGCTTCAAACGCAAGTTAGACTAGGTAGAAGTATATATTAAAAAATTAAGGATTTCCGAAAATTAGCGACAGTCTTTGAGCAAATGTTGCTTAAAATTATTGGAACTATAGATAATATGATGATAACAAAGTTACTAAGATTGATTTTTACCGAACATGCAGAACAATAGAGTAAGCCTTGTATTCAATAAGGCAAGCTGTGACTCTCCCTGTACTGGGAAATCAGATTAAGTATGGTCGCTTTTTCCTACCGACAGTAAAACCCTTGCCAATGTGGGCGTCCGTTTGGTTTTGCGGGATGTATATTTACGCAGCCATGTTCGGTCAGAATGAAGACTTTAAATCCGAAGCCTTGTTTAGAAAGAGCGACACGCTCTCTGCACGTTAAGAACCAATGGAGCAACTCTTTGAGGGGTCCGCAAGTTGGCAGTTGTAAGGCTAGATTTCTGTCCCTATATAATATACCGCCATTTTCCAGTGGAATTTAACATTCCCGCCGTTTATCCCTATCGACTCCTATTACAGGACCTACCTATAGTATTTACTGATCTCTATTGTTAATTTGTTCTCGTCCTGAATTTGTATGAAACATTTGCCACTAGATGTTAAGCAAACAACTATCAATAAATCAAACTAAATATCTGTATTTTTTCCAAATATAACTTCGATGGCATATTATTTACCTGTGTACAAAAGATTAAACCTAGAACAAAACTTCCAAAGCACCAAGCCACGGTGAATAAATCACTTCTACGTCGTAATCTTTGGAAGCTATCTGTAAAAACTCCTATCACGGCTTCTACTGTTACAAACTAAAGCAAAATACAATTCATTTCAATATATGTTAATTCTTCTGGAGACCCGTTTTGGGTCTTAACGTTTGTAAACATTTACTTCCCAAAAGTTTAGATCGAATGTTTCTCTGAGTTGGAATCGAGAAATACCTGTACCAATACTACAATCCCTTCTTTCGTATCAAAATAGCGGAAAAAAAAGATAATCACAATTATTGTTAGATAGTTGATATACTGTAAATATTAAGCTCTATAAACCATTGATCGATCACACCTGATTTGAAATACCAAAATACATGTTACAATACTAAAAAATGAAAACAACACTTTATAAATTTCATACGTTCGAAGCGCTTTCATCAGGAAAGCTCAAAGTCGAATACTTGAAAGCCAAATTAAGGATGTATAAGAACGGAATAGTTCAAGAGCTATTTGAAAACCTCTTTTTTCTTGTCGTAGATAAGTGCAATATACGTACAATTGTCTGCTAATTTTGACTGTTTTATGTTCTTATGTGATAGTTTTTGCTCTTCATTGTTTGAAACTTTGATTTCGGATGTTTGATATTAAACATCACTAATGAGAGTAATCTCCACAAAAAGGAATACGCACACCAAACTTATGCAAATGTAGGCGTGTTGTCATTTTGCATTGCATTCTAATTTTTCAAATGTTTATATTTGAGTGATTTAGGGAAATCAAGTAACGATTCACAAAATATACTTTGTCTTTTTATCTATAGCGTGTTCTGCTGTCAAATAGGTTGTATTGTTTGTTATAGAAAATCAAAATGTTTGGTTTCATTACTGGGTACATATATTTTATCATATGTTTTTATTTAATTGATAAAAAAGACATGCTCCTGAACATTGCTCATCCTACAATTTATGTTATGAAACGAATGTAATTCTTTCATTGGCCTATAAAAGAAAGGAAAATACATGCATGGGGGAACGATGGTGCTATCAGACAAAAACTCAAATATAAAGATTATGTACTCACATGGCTATCAAGACCAACACATAGAATCATAACAAAAAATATACAGGACCAAACATTTTCCCCAGGAAGTTTTGATAAAGCCTCGGGATACACAATGAATGCTAGTCCTGGGCCTGAAATAAAACACATTAAAAAAGTGTAAAATACAATGCATTTTTTTTTCTTTGTTTGATATTAATTTTGCATATATTTGAACATCTTTGATATGTTATTTTACCGTCTTTACTGCTAACAAGGCTACTGTAATCTATGCGTTGGATAGAAAAACCTTATTTTTTTTAGTAATTCAACATTTTATAAACAGTAAATTTACAAAATATTAACGTATCAATGATATTTCATGTCAACTGTCAACACAAAGGGCTGACTACTATACTTGTGGTACTCTTGGGGACAAAACAACCACCAGCAATAGTTCCGACCCAATTACTAGTTTGTTTTGATAATTGGAAACACAAACACAACCCAAGATAACCAGGTTCCATCTTTACGTGCTAAATGTATGAAGAAATAAATATGTTCGGTATAATATGATGATAATAGGATACTAATCCAAACTACAAATATGACAAAATAACATATAGAGAGAGGTCACCATAATTACGATCTTCAACGATAGACAAATGTCAATACCATATGCCGAGCGTTAAATCTTACCTAGTCTATATAATATGAGAAAAAAAAACTTGATAGAGTACAAACGATCTGAGTTTAACACAAGTCATATTCAAAAAGGACCATGATGACCACATATCTGTCAGTTTACAGTAGTCTTACAACACGTGCTGATAACTTTTGTTAATTGGTTCATCTTAGCTATGGTTTACATTGTCCTAACAATACACTCATCAATACGACAAGCGCATTGATGACTATAAAACAAACAAAATCGTGAGGGTTCCGCGGAACCCAGTGTCTCGCCTACTTTTGCTGTTGTCTATGTTTTCAGTGTAATAGGGATATGCACATAATAGATTTACAGTTAATGAAATAAAACGTTTGAAATGTATGAAAAAAGTTATGCAATTAAATCTATAGATTAATAAAAGATTGATTGATTGTTGGTTGCTTAACGTCCAGTGGCAAATATTTCATGCATATTCAGGACGAGATTAATAAAAGAGTTGAAACATAAATTTCTTGAATGAACAAATGATGAAGAAGATATTTTTTACATTGCTTGATGATTTATCCCTTAATTCAATCTAATAAATGTTTTAAAAACTTTAACTGCAGACTGTATGTTATGTTAACTGGCAGAAAAACTAAGTCCATTTATAAGTAATGTACCGAAAAACAGGAAATAGATTTTTACAAAATTTCCTTCTAGATACTACCTTTTGATCATAAACCAACTTCTGTCCTGTTAAGTACAAATCCAGGATAGTTTAAGAAAGTTATTAAAATTTTAAAAACTTTCACCACAGAGTGAATGTAATGTTAACTGGCAGAAAAACTAAGTCCATTTATAAGTAAAATGCGGATAAACCGGATTTTGTTTTACAAAATTGACTCTGGATACTATCTTATGATCATAAACAAGCTGATGTCCAAGTTTGGTAGAAATGCAGGATAGTTTAAGAAAGTTATTAAAATTTTAAAAACTTTAACCCCAGAGTGAATATTTGTGGACTCCGCCGACGAAGACGACGACGGAATGTAGGATCGCTATGTCTCGCTTTTCCGACAAAAGTTGCAGACTCAACAACAACTGGTTCAAAAATAAAAAGGCTGTTTATAAAACAAAATGCTGGTTATAAAACAAACAATTTTAATCGCATGGCTAATTTCTTTATATGTAGTTTATTTTATACTTTTCTTCTATTGTCAAAACAAACTTACCTCCTTTCACAATGTTCTCCAATGGAATTGACAACTGTCCTGCCATATAACCAAGAACTGTAAAAATAACTAGTCCTGAAAAAATACTGGTGAATTCACTGATACAGGAGAACATTATGGAATCCCTGTAATAAAATAATTCTGGAATATAAACTTGTCAATTAATACAAACAACAAGTGTGTAATATTATTGAAGTCCAAGGTTATAGCATAAACAGACAATTCACTTTTGGAGGACAATTGATAAACAATATTTGTAATAAAAATAAACCAATTGAGTAATAGCAGTGGGTCGATACCACTGATGGTTGACTGTTATTACCCAGGTATAATCACCTCACTACTATTGTTATTTATTATTACAATCAAACATAATGGAATACGGAACATCGAAATACTTCTAAGATTTTTTCATCAAAAAGAATAGCCAAAATCATCTAAGGTCAACTTTTCCAGAGCGAGTTTTAGTTTCTAAGAAATTTATTAGTTTTTCAACAGGGAATTTTAGAAATGTATGTTATAAATCATGTCAGTAATAAATCACTGACTACTAAAAGCTGGGATATTAAATTTTATCGTTATACCTGATACAATTATTGTCAAACTTATTGAAGCTCGCTTGTGTAATAAGTATTCCACTGCCTGGTCCTAACGAGTAGCACACCTGTACCGCGGCTTCAATCCAAATCTGAAGTATTCAAATTAAAAAAAAAATCAGTCAAATGCAAACTAAAAAAAAAATACCTTAGAGTGTAAGTACATAATAAATGTAAAGTAACACATGCTTCACTTTTGTTTTCTTGTGAACTTGCAAAAACATTTCTTAAATTTCTTAAATTAATATAAAAGGGCGCCTCTTGGTGTATCCTTCATCAATATAATAAACATAGTTCCCTTTCCTTACAATTTCACTGTATTGATTGGGTCTCTTGTCATAAAAACGGGAATTGAATTGTAACGACATTGAAGACAAAACTGTGTTCTACTCCTTTTATTTACAAATTCGTTATTTTCGCAATTGAATTGGTATATGTGTACACACTGTACATCTCTCAAGGAGCAATACACATGTATACCTGCGTGTATATATCAAATGGAACAGATTACACATGTATTCTTGCAAGTATATCTCTAATGAAATATAATACACGATCATATGATTTCAAGTATGACTCTCGTAACAGAATGTACCCGTATACCTGTAACAGAATCCTCAGGTATGCTTGCAAAAAATCTCTGACGGAACCGAATACAAATGTATACATGCTATAATATCTCTAATGGAGCATACACATATACTCTCGCGAGTAAAAGTATAAATGTCTATATTTAAACATACCTGAGCATTCAACAACTTGCTAAAGTCTGGTTGTAGATACTGAATAACACCATTTATTGAACCGTCTAAAGTCAATCCTCTGATCAGTATAATTGTCAGTAATATATAGGGCAGTGTAGCTGTAACATATACAACCTGTAAGAAATGAAACCAATCCGTTATAAATTTCATGCGTTCGAAGTGCTGTTCTGGATTTACCTTCATCAGGAACGCTCATATCCGAATATTGAAAGCTAAGGATGTATAAGAACTGAAACAGTTGAATAGCTATCATCAAAAGGAATTACTAATTGAAATGTTACGTTTTTTTCAATTCTTGCAATTGGATGGTAAATCTTATCTAGTCTTGACTATATGAATAAAGATTCTTATATCAGTATCCAGTAAAAACTTATCGGTTATCTGGTACCCTTATAATCACTAATGGACTCGTTATGCAATATTGTGACATATCTTGTTTATATAGCGGCATGAACCGTTTCTTGAATCTTTAATGTGAACTCTTCGGAAGGTCTTTACTCTCAAAGTCATTTTATATCTGTTGACATTCGACCACATGCTGTATTCATGAAAATCATATCATTCACTATCAGAATTTCACACATATATTTTACACATTCAAATTTGGACATATATGACACGCGTTCAAATTAATGCTCTCGTTCTGTTTTTTTTTTTTCAATTTTCATTGCAAATGACTTAAACATTTCACATTTACATTTTTAAGCCCCAGGCATAGATTGCCATAGTCATATTTGTCGCAGCTCTTTTGAATATTTGGGTTTTTGTATCTGATTTGGCTTTTCAACTGTTGTGATTCGAGTGTCACTGATGAATCTGATGTAGAATAAGCGCGCGTCTGATGTGCCAAATTATAAGCCTGGTATATTTAATGAGTTTTTACAAATTTCAATTTACACATTTATGACATAATGTTCAAGTGATCTCTTTCTTGATCTGTTTTTACTGCAAATTACTAAAGAAACGTTTTTTTTTAAATGACTTCTTTTGTTTAGTTTGGGTTATCCATTTTTTTTGTAACAAAAAGAATTTGATATATGATGAAACTGGTACCAACCTTTCCAACAGATTTGACTCCCTTGAATATGCAAAGGCCTATCAGTACCCACCCACCAAATAAACACAGTATCATTCGCCAGTTTAGGTGTCCAATTTCATGAATACCAGACGACATCTGTAGCACATTGTTCCTGAAATGTCATTCATAATACTTATTTTAAATTACAAAATTTGAACCCACAGATAATCCAAGATGACCACCACTATTAAAATGGTTTTACACAGGACTTCATGGATACTAATTGAAACGTCGTCTTCTTTTATCTTTTAGCATTGTCTATGATGAGTTTATTCTCTTATAAACGCAACTCATAAAATCAGTCATTCGTCCCAGCGGACTAACAAAACAAAATTTTATATGCATAGCAAATTCCATAGAAATTTCTAATCTAATCGGAAGTATATAACCAAATAGGTTGACAAAAAACAGATGCTCGTTTATAATTTACAAACTGTTACTTCCCTACAATTCTGCAATTATGAAACATATCTAAAGATAATATCTTTTACAAAATGACCTAAAAAATTGCTCTTATCTTTAAAATGTTGCGGTCATAGTGTTATTCAAGTAAACATGACACTTACCCCTACCCGCTCGGAATAAAGATAAAACTTTAAGACTCTGTCAATACAAACCACAGGAATAAACAAATCTTACTGCCAAAATTCCTCTTGAGCTGTTATCCAAGACACATTTTGGTTGGTCAATAACAGTGATGAAGTGATGTTGAGGCGATGAGTTATATTGTCTGTTGCATTTGTATCAAGGTAGGAAAATGTGTTCGGGTTTCCTTGACGGCCAATGAAACTACTGTCTAATGCACAGTTCGGACTATTCCATTCATTATTGCATGTTGTCCAAGGTAAAGGACTGATAAATGAGTTTCCGATATAGTACAAAGCCCATCCTAGAATTGTCGTATAATACACATTCCACATCAAAGTTGGTACCATGAATCCAAATCCAAGACCTGACAAAACATAAGGTCGGCATTGTATTTTACCATTTTTCCTCAATAGACATAGTTAGGTAATTATAGTATCCGTACAACAACTACCATGTCTTGCCAGTTTTGAAATATAAAACATAAAACAGGAAAGTGACTATTTAGTTTCGCGATCGATTTGGAAAACGATGGGATAAATCTATAACTGTTATTCAAATTGCATATTCATATAGTATGCAATTATATACATGTATGAACATATTTATTTGAATCAAATACTGTATTATATTTCATCAACGTTACCAGGCATTTAATTTTGAACGCCAGAAAAGCGTTCCGTCTACAATAGACACATCGGTGATGCTCGAATCAAAACAATTAAATGGCAATGTAAAATACAAAGTTGAAGAGCATTGAGGGATATAAGATTATAAAGGAATACCATTTTGTCAAATCTTTTTACATTGAACAAAACAAACATTTGTACGTCAATGTATAATGCAGAAACCCTGAAACATTGGCTAGTTTACCATGCATACATGCAAATAATAGAAAATGGACAAATAGTACATTTACATACAAACTTCAACCCTATTGAAATAATCCTAATACATGCATACGAATTTTCAAATATTGTACAAATTTACGGTACAATCATACCAACCTTTAAACATTGGACAAATGTCCCATACATGCAGAAGTCCTTTACCACTGAATTGTCCCATTGCTGTCTCCACAAAAAATAGTGGTATACCACAAAATATGAGGAAAAACAAAAATGGAATCAGAAAGGCTCCTGAAATATAATTAAAACGCAATTACTTAAAGTACAAAAGTCAATTGCAATTGTTAACCTTCCTGTTCTCATCAACCCCAGAGGTTACATAGTCCCCAGGGTAACCTATAATTAACAAACAGCACTCAAAATCGTAAATCTTCCATGTCTCATAAACTCCAAAGGTTACATAATCCCAAGGGTAACCAATAATTAACAAACAGCACTCAAGATCGTAATTATTCCATTTCTCATAAACTACAGATGTTACATAATCCCAAGGGTAACCTATAATTAACAAACAACATTCATTGTTTCAAACCTCCGTTTCTTATAAACTTTCTTAATCAAACCATGACACCAATAATTGCCAATAAGTACTTAAGATTTTACCTCCAGACTGTTTTCCAAATAGATGTATCGGCAGATTTTTATCTTTTCCGACCGGGTAACAAATAATCGAAAAACTGTACTCTTATTTTGTTGTCAAGTTCTTACCTCCTCCATTTGTCATACATATGTAAGGAATACGCTAAACATTACTTAATCCTTCCTTTGAAAAAGAGTACTCTAGATCCTATTTCTTCTCCATTTCTCATACAGATGTAAGGAAAACGCTAGAGGTTTCCTAATCCTACCATGGACATGCAGTTTTCTATATCTTATTCCTTCTCCATTTCTCATACAGATGTAAGGAAAACGCAAGAGGTTTCCTAATTCTTCCATGGACATACAGTTCTCTATACCTTACCTACTGTATTTCTCATATAGATGTAAGGAAAACTTGAGAGGTTTCCTAATCCTACCATGGACACACAGTTCTCTAGATCTTACTTCTCCATTTTTCATACAGATGTAAGGAAAACGTCAGAGGTTTCCTAATCCTATAATGGACAAATAGTACTCTAGATCTTACCTCCTCCATTTCTCATACAGATGTAAGGAAAACGCCAGAGGTTTCCTAATCCTACTAAGTAACCAATAATCGACAAACAATACTCAATTTTATTGTTCCATTTTTCCCTTTCAGAAGTTCTTCGCGTGCTGTCTTCGCTTTCATTTTTCATTTTCACTAAATTATAAAAAAAAAAAAAAAAAAAAATAAGAAAGTTATTGTAATACAAAAATACTTCTTAACATTTTCATCATTCATAATCAAAAATGTTTTCAAATAATCAACTATTTTCCTTTTTTACATTATATAGAGAAGACATCTTAAATGCATTCATCCCTGGATTTCATATCTGTTCTTTCGAGGCACCTACTGACTGGATTGTCCTAAAATAGTCACACAATCTGAAAACCAGAATGACATTTGAACTTTCTTTTGAGATTTTTACATAATGTATCTAATTGTTTTTAAGGGTTTTCCTTAGAAAAAACTGGACTTAACAAAGTCTGAAATAAATATGACACATCTGATAACATTTAAACCCACAACTCTTCCATAACATATCATTGTATTTCATTTTTTCCTTAGTTTGAATTTGTGGGTTCTGCTTACAGATCATTTTAGTTTGAATTTATGGGTTCTGCTTACAGATCATTTTAGTTTGAATTTGTTGGTTCTGCTTACATACAAAAATGTATCTTCTTAGTATGAATTTGTGGTTTCTGCTCAGTTTTGTTCTAGTATTGATTTGTGGTTTTGCACATAGTTTGTTTCAAGTGTAAATATGTGTGTTCTACTCACAATTATGTTCTGGTATGAATTTCTAGGTTTTGCTCAGTTTTTCTACTATATGTTTGTGGGTTCTGCTCACAGGTTTGTTCTTCATTGAATTTGTTGACTCTGCTTTTTTAGTATTAATATGTGGGTTCGGATCACTGTTTTTCTAATATGAATTTATGGGTTCTGTTCACAGTTTTTCTAGTAAACATTGGTGGGTTCTGCTCAAAGGTTTGTTCCTGTATTAATTTTCGGGTTCGGTTTACAGTTTTTAAATATAAATTTGTGGGTTCTGACTGATTTATGGATTCTGTTTACATATTTTGAGGTATGAATTTGTGGGTTCTGCTCATAATGTTTCAATATGAATTTTTGGGTTCTGCTTATAATTTTTAATATGAATTTGTGGATTCTGCTCACATTTTTTGGTATAGTTAAAGTAATTCTTTGGCTCTGCTTTTTTTTTGTCGAGTATGTATTTTTGGGTTCTGATTCTTCCCTAAAATTAATTTGTGGGTTCTGATTACAGATCTTTTTAGTATGAATTTGTGGGTTTGGCTCAGTTTTGTTCTAGTATTGATTTGTTGGTTTTGCACATAGTTTGTTTCAAGTGAATATGTGGGTTCAGCTTACGATTATGTTCTAGTATGAATTTCTAGGTTTTGCTCAGTTTTTCTAGTATATCTTTGTGGGTTCTGCTTACAGGTTTGTTCTTGTTTAAATTTGTGCTTTTTAGTATGCATATGTGGGTTCGGGTCACTGTTTTTTTTAAATGAATTTGTAGGTTCAGCTCAAAGTTATTTTAGTAAACATTTTTGGGTTCTGCTCACAGGTTTGTTTTTGTATTAATTTATGGGTTCAGTTTACAGTTTTTTTAATATGAATTTTTTGGTTCTGCTCACATATGATTTTAGTATGAATTTATTAGTTTTGCTCATAGATCTTTTTGGTATGAATGTATGGGTTCTGCTCAGTTTTCTTCCAGTACGAATTTGTGTGTTCTGTTCAGAGTTTCCTTGTACTTGTGTTCTGCTTATAGTTTTTGTAATTTGATTTTATGGGTTCTGTTTACAGATTTTTAATATGAATTTGTGGGGTCTGCTCACATTTTTGTTATAATTGAAGTAATTCGTTGGCTCTGCTCTGTTTTTGTCTAGTATTTATTTGTGGGTTTTGAATCTTAACCTAGATTGAATTTGGGGGGTCTGATTTGTTTTGTTCTAGTATAAATTTGTGGGTTTTACTCACAGATTTTGGTAGTATAAATATATGGGTTCTGCTCACAGTTATGTTCTAGTATGAATATGTTGGTTATGCTAAGTTTTTTTTTTCTAGAATGAACTTGTGGGTTCTGTTAGTTTTGTTCTAGTATGAAATTGTGCGTTCTGCTTACAGTTTTTTTATAAACTGAATAAGTGGGCTATGCTCTCAATTATGTTCTAATATGAATTTATGGGTTTTTCTCAGTTATGTTCTGTAAAAATTGGTGGTTTTTTTCTAGTTCGAAATGGTAGTTCTGCTCACAGCTTTTGTAGTATGAACTAATTGGTTCTGCTCACAGCTTTTGTAGTATGAACTAATGGTTCTGCTCACAGCTTTTGTAGTATGAACTAATGGTTCTGCTCACAGTTTTTTGTAGTATGAACTAATTGGTTCTGTTCACAGTTTTTGTAGCATGAACTAATGGGTTCTGTTCACAGTTTTTGTAGTATGAACTAATGGGTTCTGCTCACAGGTTTTTGTAGTATGAACTAATTGGTTCTGTTCACAGTTTTTTTGTAGTATGAAATAATGGATTCTGCTCGAAGTTTACTAAATTAATTTCATACGTTACTAAACACCATATATTTACGTTTACTGAATAAAAAATAAATTTAATTTTTTTAAATTTTTTATATGACGTACTTCAGTTGACATGTTCAAATGCAACAAAATTAAGACTCGTTTGGTTTCTTCTTTATCATGAAACTAAATTTCAAACTATTTTATTTGTAATATGTTTATCAAAAAGTCTTTTTTCCTTTGTCTCATTGACATGCACACCCCATTTACTACTTTCTATTTAATAATTCATTTAAAAATGAATTTTCGTCTATTATATTTGATACTACATTAAACATTTTATTTGGATTCATATATACGGCGGTTGCATTCCACTGAAAGGTATTTTCAGATACGCATAAAAGATCTTGAAGGATGATAGTTGCTCCTTTGAAAAAGTGAAATGCAGTATTTGGCTTTTTTTCAAATAAACATTTAACAACTTTTGAACGTTTCTAAAAAATGTTTATAAATGTAGGAAGAATAATACAATTGGCTATGAGACAACGTTCACCAGAGACCAAAGGACTAGGATGAAAGCAACTATAGGTCACCACGCGGCCATCAACAACCAACGAAACCCTTACTGTGTAATGAAGGCTCTAGCATGACCAAATGTGAAAAATTCAAGAAACAAAACCAGCGGTCTTATGTATGCTAAAAACAATAAACGAGAAACAAATGTGGCTCACAACTAACGGCAACCATGTGTGCCTGGTTTTTTTTTTTTTTATTCAAAGAGAGAATAAAAACTTTAATGCTTGAATAAAATCACAAGAGTCGTCGCTATGTATCATTTTTTCTTTATATGATACATAATTCCTAACATTTAAACCGATTTCTATGCGCATCACTTGTGTTCCTATTTAGTTTGATCAACGTCTATCACATGATGTAAATGCATTTAGGATAATATTATGTATTTTAAAGTGCACAATTGTCTGATATAAATTTTATTGCACACGTGTATCATCTTTATTAGAGAAGTTTTTGGTTAGTATCATTAACATAATTCAAAAGTAGAGAGAATATTTACCTTAAAGTATAATGTAAACGGATATAGTTTTTTAACGTCAATAAAAGAGATAAAAAGTAGTTAAGAGTTATTTCAAATGTATGCGGAATTTTATGTTTACATCGTAACAGCTCTGCAACTGAATATTGAGGCTATCTTCATTTGTTTCGCTTCTCTACTTATCTATATATTATTATTATGTTTTTTATTCATTTAAGTCAATTCTTATCAGATACTTATTACAGTAATAAGAATTCTATATGCTCCATTAGTAAAACAAAATATTCAACTCTAGAAGGCAAAACATTATACTTAGAACAGATGAATGGCGATTTTACCGAACTTTTAAATTACAGATTAAGGGGATACCAAAGATAAAAAATAAATTTAAATCATTTATGAAGAATAGAGGTATCCATTTGTGGTCTGAAAGTTAGTGTAACTGTAACGTTCCAATAATCTGTTACAAAAATATTAGAATCGATGGACTGATTACCCGGGCCATGCAAATCTACATAAGAATCGGTGAACTGATTACCTGCGCTAAGCAAATCTACATTAGAATCGATGGACTGATTACCCGCGCCATGCGAATCTTCATTAGAATCGATGGACTGATTACCCGCGCCATGCGATTCTACATTAGAATCGGTGGACTGATTACCCGCGCCATGCGAATCTATATTCAGTCAATCTGTCGCATTCGGGAACAAGAAACAATTGCGCCAAAAGAAGACGTAGGCTCTCTTTGTGAATGGATGAAGGCTGAGAGATCAATGATAGTTGACAAAGTCCTTAGAGTTGCATGGTTTAGTTGGTTTCTTGACAATGAGTTGTTATTTTCGATCAACCCCCATACACTAAGATATCATCTCAATCATAGGTAAAGGAAAGAAAAACAATTATAGTACTGAACCTAATATATCTGGTGTCTGTCTAAATGCAAACGTTTCTTCTAACCAAACGCATTGATGGCTATAACCAGATTAAACCTTTTTTTGGTAACTTTTAGATTTCATTGCTGTTCAACTATCTTACTTTATTTGGCTTTCCAACTGTTGATGTATATGAAGACACATATGCGTTGGGCGTTCTGAATCATAAGCCAGGTATCTTTGAAGAATTTTGTCATGTGGGTAGGAAATATTGATTCAGCTAATAAAATAAAGTTTATTTGATATTAATCTAAGTTGAATGTGTTTTTGTAATATATGTTTTCAGAATATACTAGCTAGCTAATGTCTTTTTGGGATCGCCAATTGTGGTTTGGAATCTGAATATGTTTGAACAGAAGAAAACGTTTCACCGTAGTAACGTTTTAGATTTCAATGAACATATTCTAAATATAACTGGTAAATTATTCAGTCAGGGATTTCGCTGTAACAAATTATTTAAAATCTTAAAGGGACATTAGCTGTCAAATTCATGTTCACCGATTTGACTCAAATTCTCATATTTGATTTATAACATACCAAAACGTATATCCAGATTATAAAAAGTATAAAATAAACAATTTACAATGCATGTGTTTTTTTTAGTCTAGACGCCATCTAATTAACTATC